CCCCCCCCCACCACCACCACCACCAACTAGTGAAATATTTGATCATATCCTGTATTGAGATTCATATCTTGAGGGCATCAAATTCTGGTTGCCACGAGTGCATTCACTAATATATTTCATTCTGCCACTCCCAGATACGTAGTTTTGTATGCAAAATGAATACAATCACAGCCGTGAACCACCTAGGTGTGAATTTGTCTCAGCACAGGTTTGTAAGGGTGTACCAGTATGTGTCTCAAGGGAAGTTACTGAAGGGTGCAGGGCAAGGGCAATAATGTAGCTGCTGTTTGGATGCTGCTGACATCTTAAAGCCTTGACCCACTTCCAAGTCTCCTCCCATCGAAGCGTGCTGCATACTGAAGTCACTCTCTCAAATGCGCCGCGAAGCATTGCATGCAGATGCTCAAGAGAGAGGGCGTGCCAGCGATGAATAAATTGTGTCTCCGGGCACTGCAAAGTGAGTGCAAATCAGCAGGGCTGGCCAGCGGACGACCTTAACCAAAGTCAAAGCAGGAAAATTGCTGCACCTGCAAAGTTTATCAACACTTGCACTGGTTTACAGCTGTACACAGGAGGAACCAAGCTGAAGAATGCCAGTAAACTGAGGAATGTGACCATGTGTGTTTAAAGCTGGGGAGTGGATGTTCAGACGGACACTTGATAGGAAAGAAGTGGAGGAGATGGGCACTCACTTAGTCACAGCTGGTAGACACACAGATTTAGACGGATTACAAAAAAAGAAAACACTTTTTTTTCACATGCACGCATTAGTGTATCATACAAAATGAGGATTAGCACACTTTTCACTTTTGGGCAGAGTAAATACTCCGATCTGAGAGTATTTTAAGGCAATGTCATCCCACATGCTTTGAATGCATATTAAAACATATTAAAATGTTAAAACTTGTAGGCTAACAGAATTAGCATTGATCAGGAGTACCCAACCAGTTGATCGCGGCCTACAAGTAGACAGCACAATGATCATAAGTGTGTGTGTGTGCGTGCGTGCGTGCGTGTGTGTGTATGTGTGTCTTTTTTTTTTTGTTGTGCATTCTCTTTCAAAGCGAGTTTTATCTGCTATGCAACAATGGCAATAGCACAAAAAAAGGGGAATCGAGCGCAGCATTTCAAAACGGTACAAGGAAGCTACTATAAGGATGTTGTAGAATTTGAGCATTTTGGTTACGTAAATCCCTGAACTCACGTGACCTTGTTATGGACGAAACGTCGCATTGCAGATATTTGGGGGGGAATCACATGTAGGTCACCTGTAGGTCCACAAAGTAAGATAAGAAAACCTTTATTTGTCTCACAATGGCGAAATTCCCAATTTACAGCAGCAAAAATATGAAAGGGAGAAGTCGAAGAACAAGCAGTATATAATATAATATAATATAATATAATATAATATAATATAATATAATATAATGTAAAAGTAGGAAGCATTGCCCAAAATGTGGGTTGGAGCTTTAATCCTAGATTCGTTCTTGAAGATTTCCTATCACTTGAAGGGTCTATCCAAACCCCCAAAACAACCTATTTGTCTTACACCCTTCCAAAAAAAACTCTGGCGTAGTTCAATCGGGCCTGTAATGGATTCCCCATTCCAAAGCACATTTTTCCACTTCTCCAGAGTGTACCTGGGACATGTTTTACACGATGTCTGACTCTTGACATTGGGCTTGGTGATGTAGCTGTGCAGCCCATGCCCGCCACGACCCCGCTCAGGTTAAATTAATAATAAGAGAGGGCTGGAATTCTGAAAATTTTAGTGAACAAATTGTTGGCATTCAGCAACCCAGCGGGGTAAAATTCATTCATTCATACATTTTCCGAACCGCTTGATCCTCACTAGGGTCGCGGGGGGTGCTGGAGCCTATACCAGCCGTCTTCGGGCAGTAGGAGGGGGCCCCTCAGGTTAAATTAATAATAAGAGAGGGCTGGAATTCTGAAAATTTTAGTGAACAAATTGTTGGCATTCAGCAACCCAGCGGGGTAAAATTGAAATGACCAATACTATGGACAACTAGGCTTTCGTTCAAATAAATGCAAGGCGCTTTCTAGTATCAACGTAACGTTGGACAGGATGGCGCTCGAGTCGTTATGATGTTGCGGATGACAGCATTGCCTTTGTCTTTGAAAAACAGTCACACAAACACACAAACAGACACACAAGGGCACAAAGGCCCAGTCATAGCTGTATGTTTTTTTTATGTGATCTCATATGTCTCGTCCTGCCCACCTCATTAGTGGTGCTTGTGATAGACCTTACAAAGGTGCTCATTATCACCACCGGGACTACCTTTTGGGTTTGCGTAAAATGTAAAGGTCACGGACACCCAAACAACAGATTCGTTTGGCTTTCACCCCGCCGGTGTTTTTGATTCAGATGTTGAAAAGTGATGCAGTGAGGCAAGTTTTCAGTCAGATAATTGTTTAGCTAGAACCATCCGGTCATTCTATCATGTAAATGTTCGTATCCGAGAAAGTAAGTAACCGATTCTTTGTTCAAAACGACATCGAGTGGTCATCCTTCTTTGAAAACGATGTTTTGAGAGAGTGTTGCATATCACATAAGAACAAAAATGGGAAGGTACACTAATTATGACACAAAGGTTGATGTGTTCCTTTTTGTATTTCCTTTGTTAGATGCTGTGAGTGCAGCAGCTCGCTGTCCCACTGGTACTATGAAAAAGATGGACGGCTCTTCTGCAAAAATGACTACTGGGCCAAGTTCGGGGAGCTGTGCCACGGCTGCAACGACCTTATCACCACTGGCCTCATTATGGTAAGAGGATTTGACCGCTAATAACTCATCTTTCCTCAGCTCTGCGGCCTCGGCTTGTACAGTACTTTTTATTTTTGGAGCTGTAGTGTTTTACATTAGATTTGCAAAGTACTGTCAATCTTCTCTCGACTTGAAATATGAAGTACAATGAAAACTGTTGACATTCCATGTCACTTAGTTTAGAGCACTCACTATTAGAGAAGACACTGAATAATTATGTAAATGAAAAATATGCTTTGTGCAGTTTTTCGAAGCTAATTTATGACTAGCATTTGTGTGTAAGAGCATTTGTGTGTGTTGTCTGACACGTAGGAAATGGCTGCCTCAAAATAAAACTGGCTAGATTCGCGACACATGATGAAATACACATGATGAAATACAGTGCCTTCCTTGATGCGTGCGTGCGTTTTGATCCTTTACTGTGCAATTTCAGTAATGTAACGTTGCAGAGTCACCCTAAACGTGTTTAAGTGAGCAGTAGTTTACTTAACCCGACTAACCCGAGGATAATGTACAGACATTATCCTCGGGTTAGTGTTTCCACCTTAGTCACCACTGTTTAGTTATTTGGTGTTGTCGAGGCTGTTGCATTTAAGCTGTTGCGGTACTTTCTTGGGGATCTTTTGTTTGTTTTGTTTTTCATCTCAAGAAATTCCCAAAGAGTGGAGTGTGAAATCTTAAGTCACAAGATTTTTTTCAGTGAATGAAACCCCAAATCACATGCAGCGCAAGTCACAACATGTACTTCCCGCTTGTTGTTTTCTGTTTTGTTCCGAGATGAACTTGTGTTACTGCTGGGCTGTGTGTGTCATCGATCATTGAAGCACAACGTGAAGAAATTCAAAATCATTTCAATGACATCAACAAAATAAGATAAGTCACTGCTTACATTTGAATGTGTTTCCATGACACCCCAAATGTAAAAGATGTGAATTTAAATGACAACTAACCAACATGGATTGGGGAAATTGTGTAATAGCAAACGCTCTTTCCAGTTTTTCTTAATACAGTATAATCGTTACAACATGTTCATAAATAAATTTTAAGCCATCAAATATTTGGTAGACAAAACAAGAGCGATCTGTTGTGCTGAAGTGCTTTGTACTTTTAATTTCACTTTGCTTGATTGTGGGTGGTACACCCACACAAACTGTACGTGATCTTAGAAATTGGACACACTGACGTCAAACTTTAGCAATGGAAAGTGCCAGAGTGAAAGGTAACGACTGTAACCTTCTGTGGGTGTGAGGTGGGTTTGTGTTGCATGGCACGTGTATGCGATGCACGACGACATGGAGACAGACAGTGTCTGGTTTTCATTGTTCAGAAATAGTAGCTGAGGAAATGTGGTGATGTGATGAACGTAGTGGCCAATATGCAAAATCGGACCTGCAAGTTCACCTAATTGTTGACCTCCTGGGTAAAACTGGACTTGGAAATAACGATATTTGATACGTGAATGAAAACTTGGGTAAGTAATGAACCTGGTGCTTTGGTGACGTATAGTAAATGCACACTTTCATCCAAATTCTGAACATAAGATACAGTTACGGTACCGCACTGTTTTACGATTGTTGACATTCTCACGCATGGCCCAAACCAACACTTACATATTAGATGGGAGCACTGATTAAACTTGTTTTAAAAAGAAAACAAAAACATTCTCTTTTGAACTCATCTCAGCAAAAAAATGCTCAGAGAGGTGATCAATGTACGACAACATCGTGCGAGGGAACAAACAAAATCACCTAATGTCTTGCCAATAAAATCGTGCGGTCATTTCAGCGTGCAGCAAAGTTTATACAAACAACTCCAAACAACACAGGTGCTAATTTTAATACATCCTGAAAGTATCTGGGCTTTTTCACCTTTATTATGAACCTCTAAAGTGATCCAAGTTTAAAACACACTACTTTCCTAATTTCCAAGGCAGTAGAGCATCACCATCAAAAATATTGCTAAAATTAGTCCATGACTCAGATGGTTTTGAAGCAGTTCCCCTTTCCGTAAGAATTTGTGACAATCATGTGCAGACTAAAATCCCCTATTTTGGTACATTGTTTCACTTGTGAAATGTCATTTAGTTCCCACCCTAGACACACATTTAAAATGAATAATTAGAATATGTTGTTTACACTATAGTGTATGTATTTTATTTATAATGGTGTTCATGAACCTCCTCTTTTAAAACGGGCACATGACTGAGCTGTTTGTCAGAAATAATAAGCCACACCCTTCTGTCGTCATAGTTGTCATAGGCATTTGTTCCCCGACACATTTACTTGTTTGAAATATGCTTTTAGTGTATCTCAAAACATCCCAAGAGAGCATTTGCCACTTGGCACACTTGTATTTCTTGTCATGTTGAAGTGAGCCCATTTTTAGGGGCTGGCCCTGTCTTATGCAAGTGAGCCAATGGTCCCCCCCCCCCCACACCCCCACCCAATATACTGCAGAACCTATGGCAAGTCCGTTCTTTGTTACCTGATGATTGGTGGCTGAGCCTTTTGACTCTTACCTGCGGAAGCGTACAGAGTCCAGAGCGTGGAGTAACTTGAGCGCTCGTACAGACCATGGCCTATTTTCTTTTTCCTCGTACGAGAAGCACTTACACACTCAATCGTGTGTACAGTCTGTGGCGCGTGGGCACATCAACAAATGTGAATCATCTCCACCGCCGCTGCATCGACAACTTCACCGAGGAATCGAGTGTGTGCCAGTTATCAGTGGAGCCAACAAACCTCTATGCACGCGTGCTCGCCGATTCACTTTGAGATGTGAGCCATGTGAGAATTTCTGCATGAGTTTTTTAGACGGTGCCTGTCCATTGCTTGAAAGTGACTCTGGATATTCGTCCAACCTAGCAAATCATGTCATGGAAGAAGAAAGGGAATGTTTTTTTAATGGGGTGTGGGGGGGAGGCATGGTTGGGCAGCAAATTACACCCACATTATACAAAGTAGACACATTTTCAGAAGTTACCAGTCAACAAAAATTCACTGATTTAATTTCACACAAGACTGGCCAGGCACGCGAGAAAACCACTTTCTGATATAAAACATTAAAAGTAAAATATTCTGTAAAATACCCATTGAAAGCTTTTTTGAATACTGGATTCTAGAATTCCGATTCTTATGGCGCAGCCTCAAAAGCCATCGCCAGAGCATCCCCGGCAACTTATTCATGAATCCCCAGCAGCTACGCGTCTCAGCAGAAGCGGCATGCAGTTTGTCTGGCCGCCTATTAATACCTCACCATTGAGATGGCCTTGAGCCCATGCCTGTAACAAGCGGGTGGGGTCAGCATACTGAGTAGACAAGGTCAAGTGAGACGCTGCTTTGGTGTGGAAGTGACACAGCAGTGCGATAGAGATTGGACGAGAGAGGAAGGACAGTGATAACGAGATTAACGGATCTTGCATGTGTGGTGTGTCACATGCCCGATGACAGCATGGGTACAGTCCATCAACAATGTGACTTACTGTTTGCGTCTTTGTTTACTCATTTGGTGAATTCCTTCAAGACCCCCGTTTGAGGGTTTTTTTTTTTTTGTTTTTTTTTTTGGTAGGTAGAGGCGAGTTTTCTTTATTGCAATGTGAAGATCTGTATCAGCAACTGCCTTTAGAGCATTATTAATTCAAAATCTATATTTGGGTATTTGTATATAACTTCTTCATGAGAGCTGTTTTTTTTTAAATGCCGCTCCTTTTTGGACCTAATAGCCCTTTCAGAATTGTTGATCACTGCTGCCTTTTATCTTTTTAAAGGCTGAAATTGTATTGCACAGAAAATACAGGATAAAACAAGGCATAACAACAATTGGCATCACATACCCAGCAGCAAAATGACATTGGAATGGCTTAGTATAACGTTGAGAACTGTATCTAAGAGTAAGCATTGGGCATTTGATTACATTAACGTGGATAACGATCAACTTACCATTCATCCATTACCTGAGCCGCTAATACTCACTTGGGTTGCAGATGAACTCATCAATGAATGATACATTTTTTTTTTGAATGTATCATTTGATCTCTGGAAGATATGAACCTCATAGTTCAAAGTGGAGGTCTGTTTGGATGTAGATTCCCATAGCTCACATCATGTTGTTCATATTTACGTTTAAAAAAAAAAAAAAAAATCAGACTGTGCAGCAACCTTCAACCAAAATGCAGACAGTTTCAATATCAGGATTTGCTTGTCATGATACTGTATAAAGTAAGACTAGGTTGTAATAAAAAATAATCTGTAATTTCCCACAACAAATGCCACATGATTTTTGTTTTTACATTTCAACATGAGTCACTCTGTTGTGGTCACAATGTGCCGAAGTGGGCGATCGAAAGTGAGAATAGCATTTGCTGATGACATAAGTGTGTGTGCGTGTGTGTGT